TGCCTGGGTGTGGGGATCCACCAAGGGGTGTCCTTACATAGTCAATCTATGATTGAGAAGGATGCATGGAAGTTGGCTCTATAAAGAACTGCCCATGAACTCACTCTGCAGATCAGGCTGGCCTTAACTCAGAGATTCCCCTGCCTCTGCCTCCAAAGAGCTGGGATCCAAGGTATGAGCCACCACCTTCCAAGCAACTCATTTAAAGGAAAGAATTTAACTGAGGGCTTGCTTAGGTTTCAAAGACTTAGTTCATTATCATCTTGATGGTGAGCATGACAGCATGCAGGCAGACATGGTACTGGAGAATAAGCTGAGGGCTACATCCTGATCCACAGGCAGCAGGCAGAGAGAGACAGAGATGACCTGGTGTGAGCTTCTGAAACCTCTTAAGTCCACCTCCAGTGACACACATTCTCCACACCAAGGTCACATCTACTCCAACAAGACCACACCCCATCCTTCCCAACAGTCCAGCAACTGGGAACCAAGCATTCAAACATATTAGTCTATGGGGGCTACTCTCATCCAAACTACAACAATATTGACAGGAGAATGACAAAAATAGTAGTCACAAACAATACTCAATGATACTAGAAAAATTCAAAGAAAATACTAAAAAAAGATGTAAATCTGTATTAGAGCATCCAGGAAGCTGCAAATCTCAAAATACAAGTCTTGAGGATAGCTGCAGTCTAGTATAGAGCCCCATCTCTCCAGACATGCTGCAGATCACATGTTCAAACAATGCATCCAACCATGAGCTTCTTCCTGTATTAGACCCACAAAAGACACAACCATTACTAAAGGGAAATCATCCATAGTTATACAGCCTTTGGCTATGCCAGCTTTGTTGATTGGGAAATAAATGGAAGGATTTCAGAAAACCATTCTGTGTTCTCCACTGCAGTATCAATTTATCAACCTCATTCAGCCACACTGACATCCAGGGAATCTCCCAGACAGTACCCACCCCTTTGTGTTTCAAGTGCCTTCTTGAAACCCCTTCTAGTGCTGTTAAGGCCATCCTTTCTTACAGAAGACTTAAGTGCAGTTGATCATGGGGCATGGGAAGCTGATACACGTGGATTGTGAGGACAAAGTCAGCCTAAGTTACAAGGGAGACCTTGTTTCAAAAACAACAGAAACTAAGTCCAGCAAAATTTCAGTTTTCTTTCTTTCTTTTTACCACTACCTTTTCTTTCTTTATTCTCATGATTTTCCCAACTGGTCAGGTTAGAGGAGGTAAAACTTCCAACATTCCACATAAGAAACAGACACTGAATTTAATCTCTACCCTTAGAAAGGACACACTGAATGTCCGTGGGAGCTCTCTGGGACTTTGTGCAAGGTTTCTAAACTGGCATCCCTGTATCTGGGTTGTGTCAGCATACTTTCCTCTACTCAGGGGGTAGCTAGTTCTAGTTTCTCCAAGAATATGTGAGTCTCTCTACCTTTCAGACTAGACACCAAATGTCTTCCTGGAGAAAAACTGAATGCCTTCTTTCTAGTTCCTGTTATCACACTGTAACTGATGAGCATAAGTGATAGAAGATGGTATTTCTGTTTTGTTTTGTTTGTTTGTTTGTTTTCTGAGACAAGGTTTCTCTGTGTAGCCCTGGCTGTCCTGGAACTAGCACTGAACACCAGGCAGTCCTTGAACTCAGAGATCCACCAGCCTCTGCCTCCCAAGTGCTGGGACTGAAAGGTGTGCACTACCATGTCTGGCTAGTTTTTGTGTTTTCATGTGTTGGTTCTCATTTATGTGGAGGCCAGAGGTCAACTGCAGTGTCTTCCTCAACTGCTTTCTGCCTTAATTTTGAGACAGGATCTCTCACTGAATCAGTTTGGCCAGATTGGATGACCAGTGAGCCCTGAGGCTCTGTCTCTGTCCCCCAACCCTAGGAGTACAGGCATGCACCACTATGCCCAGCTTTTACAGGTTGATAGGGACGGAACTCAGTCATGGTCTCCAGACAACCAGGCAAGCATTTTACTGACAGAGCTATCTCCACAGCCCCAGGGGTGCTGTTTTATTGTAGCACTTCCTTTATGGTTTGTTTCCCTGTCTCTATAATCTGCTGTGACCCCTACGTGGTACTAGAGCAAACTTCTTTAAACATGAAAAACTATCCTGACACTTGTCCCTAAAATCGTCAAGGGATAATTGTTGTCATGTAACAGCTACAAAATGAAATGAAAATCTCTTACTTAGTCTGATACATACAGGCCTTCAACCCAGGCCCTATCAGCCTTCTTTGACTCATGCCCCATAAACCTGCAGAAGTTATTTACCCAAAGGCTTAACTTTGAAAAAATCTTTCCCTTTGGTGAACCCCTCTGTGTCATTTCTGGGCACACAACTAACCTTCGTAATCGAACATAACCACTAAGTGAAGAGCAAAGTTAAACACAGAGGCATTTCTAAACCTCTCAGGATTTGACATGAAGTATTTTCTTGAGGTTTGCCCAAGTGGTACCCGACATACGAAAGAGACCGCTGTCATATATTCACAAGTAAACATCAAAGTAAAAATGGTTTGTTCCTTCTAAGAACAATGTCTTCTCCATGGAGACAGAGTCTTGGTCTGCCTGTCACCTAGTGAACTCAGCCCATCTATCATGCGCGTGCCACCCAGTGTGGAATTAAGTGGAACAGCGGAGAGAAACGAGTTCATACACAGTCTTCCCATTTACTGGTGGAAATAGACTTTTAATGCATACTTTGTGTTTATATAAACTCTACGTTCTTTTAAAGGCTTTTATTATATTTGGAGCTTTTTGGCATCCAAATTAACACATTTACTATGTATTTCACTACTTAATAGATTTTAAAATATTCTAGATTTTAAAACTAAATTTGAGAAATCAAGCATGCTATAAACCCTACCTAACCCCAAGAAGTACTTTTACTTCTGAAAAAAAAATCACAAAAAAGGTGAACTTAAACTATCTGTCCTAAACTTTTCCACATTCCATTTATGAATAAAGAAATACTAAGTTCATTATTATATGTCTCTCGCTCTCTAGCAAGTCAGATTGTCAGACATGCTTCATGCTCTACGTTAACCTGTATCTTAATTCACTTCCTCTTAGAGATGGTCATGTCAATGCTAACACTGTGTCAGATGCAGTCTAAGCCCCAGAGCTTAAGTAACTCTCAAACTTGTAGTTTTTAGCATGTATATGTTCGCCATAGTTACATATCTGCATACACACGTACAGTGTGCTATGTGTTAAATTATTTCAAGTAACTGAAGTCTATCTAGCAGACATTCAGCCAAACAGTCTACACAGACTTAGACAGTAGTGTCCAAACACAGCACTGAGCTGAAACTGGAAAATCCCAGCAAAACCTACTGCAGTATTCAGAGAAAGAATCAAGATTCCTAACATACTGAGTTGTGCAGATACAAAAGTGCTTAACATGACAAAATTACCAAAATAAAAACATTTTGAAGGTTATTTGGTTCTAGCAATATTAACTGTTCTTTACTTTTGGATAATTTAACATCTGCATTTTAAATTTTTTATAAACAACCTCTTTGTAACAAGTTTTTTTTTTTAAAAAAAAACACACAAAAAGCAGTGCAAACTATAATCTGATAGGTTTTTCATCTTGGTCACCTCATCAAAAGTAACTCAAGAAGTGTTTGACTATGTGGCTCCAGGAACATCCAGCACTGACCAGATCCCCTCATCTCACTCATTGTTTGTGGCCCCCAATTCTAAAACAGGCTGCTGAAACAGGAAGAATTTGAGCAGCAAAAGTACCTTATATGCCGAGAGTGTCACAGATGCCTCATGATTACAGACTCAATGCAGCTAAGAACTTCACTATCCTGGTCTCTCTACCCAACGTAGAGTTCTCATTTCCAGAGGGGTCGACCTGGACGCTAGTGCTTCCCCACAGCATTCACAGAATTCACCCTGAACCTGTGGTCACACAGAAATTTAATGCAGATTGCTGTGGAATCTCCCAATGTTCCTGAGGAAACTGTCAACTAGAGACCCTTTGTGTCTCCCTTCTCTCCCTGAGGAGTTAACACACAGAGTTGTTGTAAATAAGCAGAGCCATGTAGACTTATACATGTTTATATATTACAGGTGATCTGTAGTAAGATATACGAAAATATTAAAAATTGTTTGACAGTTTTAATTCCACTTTAGATTCAGTTTTCAACTGCAATGATAATACTGAAAGATAACAGATAGTCTCCTTTATAAAACAAAAGCTCTTTGCTATACTCCCTCCAGAATTTAGTGAATTCAAAAATATTGCATATTCCAGGTACCAACATTACACAGCGTTTATGCCCCTTGTCATCCTATGCTCATGATGATTTTGATGTGTTAAAAACATATGGGGATGAAAACATCCATCTTCTAACTACATCTTAGTGAATAAAATCTAAGTACCGAACCACTGAAAGTAGATACCAGATTTTGATCTCTCTGTCATACCTTGAGCCTCCTAGAGTCCCAGCAGTGCCTGGGGCCTGCCAGGAGACATTTCTCTGCAGTCAAATGGGCTGATCCTTCCCTGATCCTTTTCACCACATGGATCCCAAGTTACTCATTCCCTTCAGCAGTGCAGTGATGTGCAGACTCAGGCATCTTCTATCCACCACTCAGCCATGCATTTGTATATCCATGCATGCATCCATCTACCATCCATCTATACCTCCATCAATCTGCTTATCAATCCATTCATCCCCTCATTTCCTCACCCATCCACCTATCTACCCATCCACCCACCCACCCACCCACCCATCTATCTATTATCCTTCCTCCCACCCATCCATTTATCCCCTCACCCATCCACCTATCTACCCATCCACCTATTCAACCTGCCCCATCTTGGTCTCCCTCAATCCTCCAGCTGGGTTTCCACAGTTCTGCCTTGAGGTTCTGGGATCTCCTGGATGTCTTGGTGGTGGTGTGGGTACTTCTGGCTCTGCCAGGCTTCTCTCCTGAGTCTGTCCCCTGCTGACTCACACATGTTTTTGACTACCAAGGTGAGTGGGGGACATAGGTCACCAGATCTGAGTATCTAGGGTCCCTTCCCTCCCCAACAGGTGCCTGGGGTTCAGGCCTGATGGGAAGTCCCACAAGGCCACATGAGGCCCCAACATTCATGTCGTTGTAGCTGAGAGCTGGCAGAGGGTAATGAGGTTGGCAGCTTATCTGCAGGCATCATCAGCTTCTGGGTGGGCTTCTCCTTATTAATTCTGTTGGTGGCAACTGTGACACTCTGCTACCTGCACAGAGCTGCAAGAAAGGGCCTGGGCCCTCCTGCTGTTGCAGGAGTTCTCAATTCACACCTGAGTGACAGGTGATTGAAAGTAGATACCAGATTTTGATCTCTCTGTCATACCTTGAGCCTCCTAGAGTCCCAGCAGTGCCTGGGGCCTGCCAGGAGACATTTCTCTGCAGTCAAATGGGCTGATCCTTCCCTGTTCCTTTTCACCACATGGATCCCAAGTTACTCTGAGATGCAAAACAATTTTGAATCTTCAGTAACCACTGTATGAGTATCCCTCTTCTTGGCCCTACATCCTGCTTCACATAGACTTGACCTTGCCACTCCTGGGAGTTATACCAAATCAACTCTTTCCAAGCACCCATTGTGCAGCACCAATCTATCCCCAGTGATCCAAGAAGGTAACCATGGAGTCTTACCCCTCCAAGAACTCTGACATACCTCTGGACTGCATCATCCACCCATTCTCAAGAGAAGACACTGTTATGGCCAATATTTCTGATCTTATGCTGCCTGCTGACCCAAAGTGGGAAATATCTAGAACTCTGTCAGTGCTAATGAGGGATACAATGTACTTGGTGGGGTTTTGTGTATACCTAGGAGGGGGGGTTTCTGTGGTTCGGGGCTAGATGGCTACCAGGCAGAAGCCTGTTGGAGGTGGGATGAAATACTCCTGAGGTAGGGTCCAGAGTGAGATCTCAGGGGTTACTCTATCTATGGATGCAGTGGCACAGGGCCATGAGGGCTGGGGGTGCTGGGCACATACTCACTGCCTCTGCTTCTTTGGCCAGGCTGACCCTCAGTAATCCTCTGGGAGAAGGCTGCTTTGGCGAGGTGTTTATGGCAGAGGCTATTGGCATTAACATGGTCAGCACTGCTAAGTCTGTCACTGTGGCTGTGAAAATGCTGAGAGGTGAGGGAGAGAAGTAACAAAGGGCATTTGGGTTCTATAGGGCCATCACCTGCCATCTCCACTCTCAACACAGATGATGTGAATGACCAGGACTTGTTGGCTCTGGTGTCTGAGATGGAGATGATGAAAATTATTGGCAAGCACAAGAACATTATCAACCTGCTGGGGGCCTGCACACAGGGCGATAGGTGCGGCAAGTGAGTGGACTGTTGGATTGGGGCTCCTGAGTCACACATCTCTGAGGTGCCTGTACTTCCAGGGCCATTGTATGTGCTGATGGAGTATGCGGCCAAGGGCAACCTACGGGAGTTGCTGTGGGCACAAAGGCCCCCAGGCATGGACTACTCTGACACCTCCAGACTGGCAGAAGAACAGCTTACCTGCAAAGATCTAGTGTCCTATGCCTATCAGGTGGCCCGGGGCATGGAGTCCCTGGCTTCTCAGAAGGTGAACAGAGGTGGGGCACAGGCCAGGTGGGGCCCCTCTGGGTGGAAGAGTGAGTATCAAGCTTGCTTGGGCTAGGGAGATGTCAACTTAGCCCAGGAACCTTCCATGCCTCCTCAGTGTATTCACAGAGACTTGGCTGCCCAAAACTTGCTAGTGACAGAGGACAATGTGATGAAGATGGCAGACTTTGGCCCTTGACATGCACAACCTGGAATACTACAAGAAGACTACAAATGTGAGTCCCAGCTCCAGGGGACACCTGACAGCCAACACCTCTCCCTCTGCCTCGGGCCGTCTACCTGTGCAGTGGATGGCACTAGAGTGACGTGTATGTGTCCCAACATACGATAAGGGTAGAGAGTCAGGACAGCAAGACCCAAGTCACACGTATCACGACCTTTAGGGTCCTGGTCCTCTCAGGCTCTATTCTTCCCCCTCCTTTGGGCTGACACCATTACCCTGGCATTCCTCTCATCCTGGTGCCCCACCTTGCCCATTGGTGACATGTCCTGATGTAGGACTGTTGCAGTAATGGGCCAGGAGTAATAGGCCCTTTACCCTCACTCCCTTGCAGCTGATCCTTTGGAGTCCTGCTCTGGGAGATCTTTACACTGTGGGGCTTTTCAAGCTATTGAAAGAAGGCTACCGAATGGACAAGTCTGCCAACTGCACACATGACCTGTGAGCAAAGCATTCCTTACTCACTCCTCTATCCAGTCCCTGGGAGTGGCTGGATTCCTACCAGGGTCCCTGGGATGAGTAGAGGGCTGGTAGGGAAGGGCAGCAGACCAGGGGACCACACCTGTACTTGGTACAAGTATGTGATCATGCGGGAATGTTGGCATGCAGTGGCTTCACAGAGGCCCACCTTCAAGCTTCTGGTAGAGGATTTGGATGGCATCCTTACTGTGACTTCAACCAATGTGAGTACCACTCAATCCTGCCCCCTCTGCCTCCTCTGATTCCTGTGCATGTTGTTCCTTCAGGTTCCAGTGGCGGGATGAGCCCTCAGGTGTACAGCCTGAATACAGATGGCTGTGGGATCAAGGGGGTGTATGCTAAGGTACGGTCCTATAGCCTTTTCCACCAGGTATACCTGGACCTATCGGTGCCGTTAGAGCATTACTTGCCAGGTGGTGAGGATACCATTAGCCTTAGTTCCTTAGAGATGACTGTTCACCCATGACCTGCTGCCCCCAACTCAACCCAGGAATTGGACACTTCAGATGTGAGGGGCCAAGGGTCCCACAGACGAAGCTCCAGCTACTACTTATGTCGACTCTAGCTCACCCTGCTACTGTTGGTGCATGGTGGACTCCAGCTGGACCAGTGTGAAGGATGAAAAATAGATGGGACTTCTGTGTGTGTGTGTGTGAGAGAGAGAGAGAGAGAGAGAGACAGAGACCGAGACAGAGACAGAGACAGAGAGACAGAGACAGAGACAGAGCTGCAGTGGGTTTACTGCAAACGTCTGAGGTTGTCAGGGAAGAGAATGGTGACTAAAGGTATAGTGATCTCGCATATTAGTTACTTTTCTGTGGCTGTGATAAAACACCATGACCAAGGCAACACACAGAAGTAATTATTTATTTTGGCTTGTCATTACAGAGGCTTAGAGTCCACGATGTCAGAGTGAGCGCAGCAAGCAGGCATGGCAGCTGGAACAGGATGCTGAAAGCTCACATCTTGAACCATAAGCATGAAACAGAGAGAACAAACTCTCACCATCAAGTTCTTCCCATTTTTTCAGGGCCTAGTAATCATTAACAAAATCCTTTGAAACCACAGTCTTTGGATTTAATTTTGAAACAAGTACTTCAATCCTTAATTTGTTTCTATCTGATACTTGGTCACAGTGACAGAAAGATAATAAATCCAGTGTGTCACCCTATCTATATGTCTGTCCATCTATCTATCTATCTATCTATCTATCTATCTATCTATCTATCTATCTATCTATCTATCTATCTATTATCTATCTCTATCTATCTATCTATCTATCTATCTATCTATCTATCTATCTATCTATCTATCTATCTATCTATCTAACTATCTATCTATCTATCTATCTATTTATTATCTATCTATATCTATCTATCTATCTATCTATCTATCATCTATCTATCTATCTTTCTATCTATCTATCTATCTATCTATCTATCGATCTATCTATCTATCTTTCTTCTGTCTATCTATCATCTATCTATCAATCTGCATCACTTACGTATACTGAGTATTCTAATCAAGACTACATATATACAAAGGCATATATCCTACCCAGGCACACTTCCATTTTCCTCCATTATTATTTCTTATAAAAATAATACATATTCCATATACTGTCATGCTGAGTGTTCTGTAGGCAGAGTTTTAACATAAAATACTAACATACAGAGAAAAATGTATGTTATAAGAAGTAATTGTGCACCAACAGATGTTTATCAGCATTGCTGGTCTTTGTCTAATACATGCACTAACTACTTCCAACTAACTCCAGTTACAAGAACAATAAATAACCAGAGAAAAAGCTTAATATACACAGGCTGAAAATACTGTTTCTTTGGTAGTGTACAGTTGGATGCTTAAATTTCCAGTAACCTTGTCAGTCAAATCTGAAAATTAATATGAAGTTACATAAACTGAAATTTCCCCTCCACAAATTTATGATATGTAAACTTTTGCAATTTTACTGAAAGTTTCACATATTAAAGAAATACGTGATTTCATGGAAGACCATGCCTCTAACTCCAAGCTCTCAAGAGCACAAAGCAGTACGATCATGAATATGAGAAAACAGCGAAAGATACAAAGAATTAAAAATCAGTGCTCAATAAGGTATGATGAATTTGTTGCAACTTCTTTGAGTCAGAGAGATACTGCCAGCTGCCATGATGAGAAACAGCATATGAAGATGCTGGTAAGCCACGAGCTACGTGGCAAGATATAGATTTATAGAAATGGATTAATTTAAGATATAAGACCAGTTAACAAGAAGCCTGGTATGGTCATACAGTTTGTAAACAATATAAGTCTCTGTGTTTACTTGGTCGGGTCTGAATGGCTGTGGGACTGACAGGTGAGAGAGATTTGTCCTGACTGTGGGCCAGGCAGGAAAACTCTATCTACACTTCTTCCTGTTGGCTTTTATTTTCTATTTATTTTTTATTATGTATATAGTGTTCTGCCTTCATGTATGCATGCCCCGCAGGCCAGAAGAGGGCACTAGATTTCTTTCAGATGGTTGTGAATCACCATGTGGTTGTTGGGAATTGAGCTCAGGACATCTAAGAAAGCAGTCAGTGGTCTTAACTTCCGAGCCCTCTCTGCAGTCCTGGCTTTTATTTTCTAAAAATTAATTAATGAGCATGAATGGTGAAGTTCCAGGTGATGAGTAAGAACTCAAATGAACAAGTGACCAAATGGACATATAAATAAAACAAGACCTGAAGAGAGGTGCTGTTGCCCCTCACCTCATGCCAAGTTTGGATGTCACTTCCCTGCACATGCAGAGAGAGGGAAAGATGGTGGGGGAGAGAGAACAGAACACAGAGAGGGTCGGGTCTGAGTCACAGCTCTTTAAGGTGCAGGTGTGCTTACAGAGCCACACCACACATGCGCAGATTGAGTGACAAGACCTCGCGTATGTGATCACCAGCACACACTGATGACACAATGATGACATAAGACACAAGACCCCTTGTCAAGCGGCCATGCAGCTGGAGCATGGCAGGATCCCCACCTCACATACCACACATGCCTGCCCTATTGTTGTGGAGTATTAGTTTAGGGTACGTTACATTCATTTGTGTTTAATGATGCAAAGATGTGTTGTATTCTCTTATGTTGCATTTGTTTAATCCTGGAAAGCTGTGTTACTTTGCCTGTCTAAAACATCTGACTGGTCTAATAAAGAGCTGAACAGCCAGTGGTTAGGCAGGAGAGGGATAGGTGGGGCTGCCAGGCAGAGAGAATAAATAGGAGGAGAAATCTAGGCTCATGAGAAGAGGAGGATCGAGAAAAGGAGGAGAGGAGAGCGCCAGGGTCCAGCCACCTAGCCACACAGTCAGCCACAGAGTAAGAAGGAAAGAAAGATATATAGAATAAAGAAAGGTAAAAAACCCAGAGGCAAAACAATTAAAGAGAAATGGGATAATTTAAGTTAGAAAAGCTGGCTAGAAACAAGCCAAGCTAAGACCGAGATTCAAAAGTAAGAATCAGTCTCTCTATATTTATTTGGGAGCTGGGTAGCAGGCCCACATGAGTAAAACAACAACAACAACAACAACTACACCCTATCATGCACACACACATGCAGGGCGCACATCCATGCACACATGAAAAATATAAGCAAATCAGAAAGCAACAATGTGTAGGCAGTGTGAAACGAATGATAAACAGCGCTGGTGGTGGTGCTGGTTACTGCACGGAAAGGTCACGAGGCATGGCCACAACTGCCTGGTAGCAGAGAGCTTTATTAGGAGGAAGAGGGGTGGGGGGAGAAGAACCAGGCCTGGGAAAGAAGCACATGCAGAGAGAGGGAAAGATGGTGGGGGAGAGAGAACAGAACACAGAGAGGGTCGGGTCTGAGTCACAGCTCTTTAAGGTGCAGGTGTGCTTACAGAGCCACACCACACATGCGCAGATTGAGTGACCAGACCTCGCGTATGTGATCACCAGCACACACTGATGACACAATGATGACATAAGACACAAGACCCCTTGTCAAGCGGCCATGCAGCTGGAGCATGGCAGGATCCTAACATTCCACACTTTTTGCTTATTATAAAAAAGCAACTAAACAGGAATAAGGGCATTGTTTCTCCCAGAAAAACTGTTTCCTGCTGACTTGGTGGGCAGTCAGTAGGTGAAATTTGGAGGATTACAAATTGAGACCAGTCCTGGGATACTGTCCTAGTAAACTTTGTATTGTTGATAGACAGGTCCTGACATAACCCAATATGGTAGAGATAGTTTATTTGGCTCCCATGTCCTGTTCAATGTTCATCATTAAGGAAGTTTTCTAGGAACTCTAGCAGATTCAGAGGACAGCTCTTTACTGGCTTGTTCTTTGTGGCTACTTCATTTTTATTTCTTACACAATTCAGGAACAACACATAGGGGTGGAGGCACCCACATTGGACCTGGAACTCCCATGTTAGGCCCCACATTAATAAAGAAATGGGTCCTGTAAACTGCATGCAACTGCAAAATCACAGGCTTAGTTTTAGACACTCAGCACAATAATCCTCTTTTTAAGCTATCTGTCTGTATAAATGGATGGATGTGGAAAAGATGATATTGAGTAAGAGAACCCAGATCCAGAAAGACAAATGCCAGAGGTCATCTCTATCAGCTGTTTCTGGCTCTCAAACTTCTGAAGTGAGTATAAAACATAGAGGTACAGAGAGGGGAGGGGATACCAAAAGTACCTGACATCTAGCTTTGTGAATCTATCTTTGGCTGTATGTATATTACTCTTACACAGCTAGATATCATGTCCTCTTAGAGATCCTCCTGAGATCCTCCTAGGGAGATTGTACCTAGCAGGAGTAGAAACCTAGCCCTGTGTGTGTATGTGGGGCTTTTGTTATGGGGAGGAAATGTCTAGAAGTAAAAGAGACATAGTTGTGTGTGTATGAGAGACAGACAGAGAGACAGAGAGAGGAGAGAGAGAGAGAGAGAGAG